AGGGAAAGATAACTGCAAGCTTTCATCTGCCTTGATGGTTGAACAACTCCAGCTTTGGAAGGTCTGTATTCAGAAAGGCTGTTGCATATCTCGCTTTGCGGAATTGTTCCCAGCCTTGTGCCTGTGGTTGAGTTGCCCATCATTTGATAACCTCATCGAGAATAATCTCATCTGTGAGTTTGCTTCCGTGTCAAAGGAGGCTTACTTATTTCTCGAGGCTTTGGCCGGGACACTTCCCAATATATATTCACATAACAGTCAAGCGAATAATTCTGAGGCTTGGAAGTGGAGCTATGTTAATCCTATGATCGATACAGCGCTGAGCTGGATAATGTCGGTGTCCAAATTAGTTGAGCAAAAGAGAGCGATGGGGAGCAGCTCTGTGTTAATTACTTCTTTGTTGTGGGTGTTCTCAGCTGTCATGCATACTATTTCCAAAGTGCTTGAGAAGGTCACTGCCAATGGAGAGGGAGAACCTTTGCCATGGCTGCCAGAGTTTGTTCCAAAGATCGGCCTCGCAATTATCAATCTTAGGCTTCTAAGTTTTTGCGTGGTAGATGATAGTAGGTATGCTAGAGACTCTTATGGATGTTCCTCTTTCGTGGAATCTTTGTGTTATCTGAGACAGCAATGTAATGATGAAGAACTATCATTGGCTTCAGTGAGTTGCCTTCATGGGATAATCCAAACGGTTGCCTCCATTCAATATCTGATACAGTTTGCTAGATCCGGGATGAAAATCCTTCCTCAGAAATGTATTTCCTCGAGAGATGAATCTGTGCTTGCAGAAGGAATATTAACGGAGTCCTTGGCTGAAATAAGAGCCGTGTGGAATGTATTTAGGGACCTCATTGCATCAGAATGGTCTCTTGTGCAATCTGTTGAGGTACACAAACGAGGTGGACCTGCCCCAGGTGTGGGGCTTGGGTGGGGTGCTACTGGTGGTGGGTTTTGGTCAACCAGGATTCTGTTGGCACAAGCAGATGCATACTTTCTAAGCCTCTTGTTCAACATCTCTCCGGTGGACTCTGTAATGAACTCATCAGAGGATCGAGAATTGGCTGTTATGATGGAGAAATTAAACTCCGGTTTAGCAGTGAGCTTGATTGCAGGTCCAAGGGATCATATACTGGTGGAAAAAACCTTGGACTTTGTCCTTCAACCACATGCTTTAGAACTTTTTTCCCACTGTGTCAAGTCAAACAAGAGATTTGGAGAGATTGAATGGGAATACACGGAAGAGAACTATATTCGCATGAACAATGTACTTGCGTCTCACTACAAACACAGGTGGTTACAACAAAAAAAATCGAAAGCTGATAATGGAGACCCCATGCCACAGGAGCCCATGGCCGGTCTGGAGACTATTCATGAGGACAGTGAAATGTCAGACTATTCAGTTGAAGACCGTAAATCTGAATCCTTGGTTGTAGAATGGGTTCATCAGAGACTTCCCCTGGCTCCGCACTGGTTTCTCAGTGCCATCTCAGGCGCTTGCAGCGACAAAACATCACCAGGGCTGCCGGAATCGATGGATTTTCTTGAAGTCACCAAGGCTGGAATTTTCCTTCTTGCGGGACTTGAGTCACTGTCCTGTTTAGCATCTCAGCCTTGTCCTATTGTGAGCGTCCCATTGGTTTGGAAGTTTCATGCTTTGTCCGCAGCTTTGCTCGTGGGAATGGACTTTCTTGAAGACAAGACTACTGGCAACCTCTACGAGTCTCTTCAGGAGCTGTATGGTCAGTTACTAGACGAAGCAAGGTCGAATGGTTGTCAGACCGAGCTCCTGAGGTTCAAATCTGACATTCATGATAACTACTCAGTATTTCTCGAGACACTTGTGGAGCAGTATGCAGCTGTTTCATATGGGGACATATTGTATGGGAGGCAAGTCTCGATTTACTTGCATCAATGTGTGGAACCCTCAGTTCGTCTTGCTGCATGGACAGTGCTCTCTAATGCTCGTGTTCTAGATCTTCTGCCGAGTGTGGAGAAATGCTTGGGACGTGCCGAGGGCTACCTTGAACCGGTTGAGGTGATTGGCATAAACTAACACGAAACGATTGTTAATTGAATCGTTGTTGTTTTATATTGTAGTACATGACTAAAAATAGAAGGGTGGTTGATCCACAGGAAGACGAAGCGGTCCTTGAGGCGTACCTGAAGACGTGGATATGCGGAGGACTTGACAGAGCAGCGAGCCGAGGATCAGTGGCATTCACGCTCGTCCTGCATCACTTCTCATCGTTGATTTTTGGGAATGAAGCCGTTGAGAAGGTGCCTCTGAGAAACAAGATTGTGAACTCATTGTTGAGAGATTACTCGAAGCAGCAGCAGCCGAAGCGTGAGGTACTTACTATTACTTTCAATTTCTCTATTTTACGGGGAAATGTGGGTGAGGAGTGACGATGTGATTGATCGATTGCAGGGGATGATGCTGAATCTCCTGAGGTATGACAAATGGACAAGGAATGGCGCTGAATCGTCGATGACACACGAGGAAAGATTCGAGGTTTTGAAGGAAGCCTGCCAAGGCAACTCCTCCCTCTTGTCCCATCTCGACAAGCTCAAGTCTGTCTTGTCCCAAACAACATATGGCTCGTGACCCTTGTTATATATTTGACGCTTTTTTTTTTTTTTATTTTAAATATTATGTATTAGGTAAAGACTTTCGCAATGTCTATTTTTTGTTATAAAAATGATATCAGTCTTTTGTTTAATATAGAAAAATTGTATTAATAAATTGAATTATTATTCAATTATAATTACTCATTATATTATTGTCTAATTTTCATCAATTATGAAGAAGTTAATGGCAATGATATTAAAATACATTTTAAGATATAATGTAATCAACTAAAAATTTAATAATATACAAAATTAAGGCAAAAATGGCTTTTTATATATATAGATGAGTTTTATCTTTTTTAATTATAATAATTTATTTATATTTATAATAATTAGTAGTAATTTAATCGAATTATATATAGTTAACTTGATTTCCAATGTGTTTTGAAGGCCACATTCTGAAACATAAAAATATGGCCACACGAAATTATTTACCCCTATTTCGTATTGAAAAAAACTAAATGGATTAAGTTTTAATACACCATAATTTACAAATAAAGATTTTAATAACAAATGAAAATTAAAAAAAATATCACATAAATGATGAGGCGAATGATAATAAGTATTCACCACAAACGTTTAAATCTTATTATATATATATATATATAATATTCAGCTTATCTTATTACCATCTCATTATGTGTAGAAGCATTGACAAGATTTAGCTGCTTAATTGGATAACATTGCTTAATAATTACCCTTTCTGCTGTTTATTTAAATAATTTTTTTATCAAGTGATTTTGGTGGCCTGACCTTTGGTGAGCTCAAAGGGTCAGATTCCACGTCAGACGAGATAATGTCCAGACTATCTCTAAGCTATATATATATATAAATGTCATAGGGCCAGATCCAAATGGTGAGTGAGTGAATGGTATCGTGACAAATGGCAAACGCATATAACGATTTCCATCATTAAAAGAGTAATGAAATTGTATATCGTTCATCGTATGTTTTTTTTTTTTAATTTTAATTTTTTTTTGATAACCAAGAGGTTCACCTGTGCCTTCGGCCCAACCTACATCCCCTCAGGCCCGGGAGCAGTGACAGGGACCCAGAGAGCAACACCCTCCCAACCGAGAAAACACTCCCTCCCTCCCCAGCAGCTGGATTCGAACTGGTGACCGGGGCCCCAAGAGCAACACCCTTTCAACCACTCGCCCACTACTTACTGGGTTTTAATTTTAATTTGTTATAATAAATGAATGATTTGAAATATAAATGGTTGGAAATCGCACACACATGTGAGATGAAATGTGTAGTATTCCGTGAAAGAAAAGAAGAAGAAGAAGTGCGATGTCGTGATCATTTTTTTTTTTTTTTTTTGCAGAGGAGCGCTTCCATAACAATTACGTATTAATAAATCTTATCCTGTAGATTTAAATAAAAGCCTTTTTTTAATTATTATTAGATGGTGCATGTGGGGTAAGACTAGATCTAGAAACATTATTTACTTTTAAAAAAAAACGAGATATCTTTTTTTTTTTCCAAATTCGAAATATTGGATTTAGGGGAGTGTGGGGTCACATTCCAAACAGCGAATCTTCGGGGTTGGGTTGGGTCGGATTTTCACTTGTTTATGTTAATTAATCACACGATTACCTTGATTTCTAACTAAATTAACGTTATGATATTGAAGGCCCGAAATACCCATCATGCCCTTACAGGATTAGCATCATCCCCAGGGTCGCCACGTCGGCATGACTCGTTCTCCCTCACTACGCCGTCGTTTCACAAACCCCCCGAGGAGGAGGAGGGAGAGGAGGACGACGACGACGACGTTGAAGAGATAAAAACCTAAAGGACGACCTCTTCTCCATTCCTCTGAATTTCGGTTTCTTCTCTTCAGTCCATGGGATCCCCGATTCCATACCAAATCTTCTTATAACCCAATCAGACCCCCACGTTCAAATACAAGAGATCATCATCCATCACGCGCTTTTCCTCCTCCTCTTCCTCTTCTCTCTTCTCCCTCCTCAATGGTGATGGAGAACAATGAAAGCTGCGGCAGCCGAGTTTCAAGCGACGCCACGCCCACTTCTCAGTCCGCGTTGGACCGTCGCCAGCGGCTCAAGGTCGACGTTTACAATGAGGTTCTCCGTCGTCTCCGGGATTCTCACACTGAGGAAGCTGATCGGCCTGGGTTTGAAGACGAGCTCTGGGCGCATTTTAATCGCCTCCCCACTCGGTAATTCTCCCTTCGTCCGTACAATCATATGCATTTTTACTTACTCTCCTGAGAGTATGTATATATATATGTACACATCGACGTTCGACTGTGGGTACATATCTCCTGCACCGGCGTCTGCATGCGAGTGATTCTATTGGGATACTCGATCTCTGTTATTCTACTGCCACAATTCAACTTTTTTATTCGCGGAACTGAGCGGATGTACGAACTTTTTTTGTTTGCTTCTGAATTTCTGGGTCTGTTTGTTCTTCAAATTTGATCCTTTACTCAGTTTCACATAAAAAAAAATGTTGTATTTCTTGGGGAGAATATGTTCCAACTGAGAAGTGTGTTCTTTAGGTATGCTTTGGATGTGAATGTAGAGAGGGCAGAAGATGTGCTGATGCACAAGAGATTGTTACATTTGGCTCATGATCCTGCAAATAGGCCCGCCATCGAAGTTCGTCTCGTTCAGGTGAGTTGTTTGGTGGATGTGCGGCTAATCTCTCCGCATTACATTTCTTCCGTGTTTAGGGTTTGTTTTGTTCCAAACTTTTGCCGTAGAAGCGGAGCCTTCCTTTTTTGGGGTTTCTTCC